AGTTCAGTCTCCAAGAATCTTAAGGGTGTGGGTTTGTTGACACTATTGGTCTTCCTACGGAGTTCCTATCCCCTCAGGGCCTGCATCCTTTCTCCTGATCTTCCATAACAGTTCCCAAGATCCATTCACTATTTGAATGGGTCTCAATTTGGGCTAGTTATTGGAGCTGAGTTTTAAAGAATGTATATATTTTAAAAAGAGACTGGGGCAAAAGGCATTGCATTTTTAGAAGGTCAGAAGTGAAGAGTGTTGTGAGTCTTTGAGAAGATAGAAAATGAAAGAAGTTTGCCAAGGTCCATTAATAATGGACATAAAAGTAGCAGCACTAAAGATAAGACATAGCGAGACCAGAAAGGTTATAAACTCCTTATAGATGAATTGGTTTCACATTTTCTGGGGCATAATTATCTACACCTTATAGAGAGGATTTAGCAAATAGCAAACGTTTTATCTCCTATGTACACAATTCCTATTTTTAATTCCCTTATATTCTGCTTAGGCAGTGATGTATTTAGGACAACCTATGAGAGCTTCTCTCCCATGAACTGCAAGCAAAAATTCTGAAGTTGGTGGGAAAACATAATCAGACCTGTGTGTGAAAACACTTTAAGAGGTGAAGGATCATTTATAAGTTCAAGCACTAATAACATCAAATGTTATTCCCCCAAATGACTTACTTTTTAGCTTTTCTGTGATGGGAACCGTCAGTGTAATGGAGTACTTCTCCACAAACATTGCTTAGGAAACAATTCTCAGTTAGGCAGGATCAAGACATAAGATACGTATGAAGTAAGTCCGAATAACTAGATTTGAGTAGGGAAGTCAATCAATCCTGATAGATTCTAGTGGATATTCCAGAATTCTAGCACAGGTAGCATAGCACAATGCAGAACCTGGATAACCCACTTAGCAACTTTAATTATTCTCTCTTGGCCATTTCTGGCTTCTGAAAATGTATATAATATGCAAATGATATTCTCACTTCAATTCATTTCATCATTACACTAACCTCTGAAATAGGTCAGGACTCATGTAGGTCCTCATTCTATCTGTAAGTAAGGAAACAGAGACTTCAAGAAGTTGATATGCCTAATATCACATTGCTGCTAAGGTTTGGAGCCTTGTCTAAAACTCACTTGGCTCCAAAACTCATGGCCCCTAGTATTTTCTTCTGAGTGCTCTTATTCCTAAATTGTTTCGTGAGTATTTTCAGTAAGATGTGGGGTTTTGAATATTAAAAATTAATTGTAACTTTTAAATATGAAAATCTGAACTGACCTTTTCAAATAATCACTGAGGTTCACATCAATACTGTTCTCTGGGTCTCTGGAACAACATTCCTTTCAGATAAGTCAGCTATGAAGACTGGGGTTACTAAGTGGTCAGTAATGGAGGTTATATAAGTACTATACGTAATTACCAATACTAAGGCAAAGAAATAATTCTGTAGTAATTAGCATAAGAAAATTACCACATAAAAGATAAAACATTTAAACAAACCAAGTATTTTCAGAGGTAAGACATTGTCACAGATATTAGGCTTCAAGAAACTTTAAATAAAATCTCTTTAGACATTTTCCTTTTAAGCCTAGTGTGGAGAAGAAATAGGCCTATAATCTCAGAACTCATGAGGCTGAGCAAGAAACTCTTGAGTATATAGCCCAGAGATCCTGCCCCACACCGAAGCAAAACAGAGAGAGAGGGAGAGACAGAGACAGAGAGACAGCAACAGAGAGACAGAGACAGATGGATAGAGATTTAGTCTTAGAAAGTTGTAAACTTTAGACCAAAAGGAGCCTAATGATCAGAACAATGACAAGGCCACTGTGGCCCATATTAAGTGGAAACCTTTGTAGTACAACAATGTACTGAAATGTTTAAATGTTTGTGTTTAAATCATAAATACTGGGGAACTGGGTACTGGTTTGATCCTTACAGGCACATACTACTCTTGTAGAGGATCAGAGTTCTGATCTCAGCATCAGCGTCCAACTGTCCAACAAGCTCGCAAACACTGTAACTCTAAATCCAGAGGGATCTGATGCCTCTGGCCTTCTCGGGTGCCTGTACCACATGCACAAATCCATTGACACACACACACACACACACACACACACACACATGCACGCACACACACACATGTTAATGCATACAATTAACAAAAAATATAATGAGACATCAAAAGTGTGCTATATTTACACATATAGAATATATATATATACACATATATATGTATGTATATATATACAAACTTACATTTATGAGAAAATATCCTTTCATATGACTTGCTGTTGAACACTAAATATGTATGAATTTCTATTTTATCTGATACATTCGTGAAAGTCACAGGTATTCTACAGTTTTACAGTATTCTCTACTGTTTAGTTTTTAATTTTTTCCTTTCTATAAAGTGCAAACACTCAATTTTTTTAAAATCCGATAACCCACAAGCAACGTGCTAAGTCTTCTTCCAATCCTGTAGACACCTGTGTTTTCCTCGAGGTAATTTGCACACAGAGGCCACACTTGCTGCTCTTATACATGCTTTCCTACAGCCCATTCCCCAAGGATTCTCTTATTCCTCTACTGTGGATCACATCAATAAAGGACGACATCTGTGCAGCCGATCATGGTGAGCCATTTCAGGTAGACCATGTGTTCTACCTTGACCTAACTTCTTATTTCTGTTCTCACCACTATGGCCAATTAATGCATGGTCTTTTAAGCAGCCAGTTGACTGGTCTGGTCGTGTGCCGGCTATCACCGCAAGAGCTTAAGGGCCACAAATCTCTGTTATTACCAAGCTGTTGCTGCCAGAAGCACGCTGACTCCTGACAAAAAGAATAGATTAGGATCAGTCAAATCTCCCCCAGGCTTATCAGTGGGACTTTTAACCGCACCTTCTACCTCAAAGTTTCCCCTTCTCCTGCTTCCAAACACCTACGCAGCAGCAAGCTAACAAGGTGCCTGCCAAACCATATGTTCATAATTAGTTAACTTCTTTCCTGTCGCTAGAGGCACCACTCAGTCAGCAACAGCCGTCAAGGGTGTTGGGCATCCAATAAGACACCACCAAGCTGTACAGCCGCTCAGCCCAGCAGTAAAAGAGGCATACTTAATTCCAGCTGTGGCATTGTTAAGTGAATTAACTTTATCCTCAATTTAAAAAGCCAGCATGAAATCAAAGGAGACCTTAGAAAAGAAAAAAAAAATAGGGAAAATGAGAAAAAAAATGCTTGTAGGTTAACTCAAGAGTCCAGTGTGCTGAGTGAAACTCAACTGGTTGGCCCATTTAGCCAATCATTGCAAAGCAGGTTTCTGGCATCATTGTTGCTCCTGGCACAATTTTTCCTTTTATTTCTCAGTTCTGTGGTTAAGGTCTCTTGTTACACACGGAGGGGACTGATGATATAATTGTTTATGAGCCAGCGGAACACATTTATAGGTAGTAGTGAGGTTTCCAGAGAGTAATGAGAAGTTAAATGTTAGAAACAACGGTGTACAATTCTGGCTAAGAGATCTCGTCTCAAGGTAAGAGTGCTACATATAAAATTAAATGTATGTATTTACAGGTCTGGGCTATCTTTCTGGGAAATAGTTGTCACACAATATATGGGGGAGGTATGAGAACTTTCTGGAATTCTTTTAGTAGTCATTAACTACACACACAAAAAGATCCCTAATATTTTGAAAATGTATATATGGCTTTAGATGTGCTTATTTCATATAAGTGGAAAGCTGATAACTACTTTGAGGAAATGTACATCCATACATGTATGCTGTACCAAGCTCAACAATATAGCTTTTATTGAAGGAATAATACTACTAATAATAGCATAGAATAATGTTGGATTTTGCTACTAGAATTCGGCAGCATTATTTTTTTAAATCTAACATGACTATGAGAAATATAATATTTTATTTTGAATTTTATTACAATTACAAAAAAATAATCTTCATTGATGACATATATGGGACCAGAATAGTGGATATAAACATACAAGAAAACAGAAGCAGTAGTTAAAATATAAAATTTAAGAATCTGGAAAATTAAATATAAATAGGAAAATGGTTATTTAAATAATGCTAATTTTACGACTTGTGATTTTGTTGCTGTTACTGTAAATCCTCTTATGAAGCAATCTGAGAATAGTCTTCTGTCCCTTACAACTTAAATCTCAGCTTGCGATCCAGTTTCATTGTCGATTACATAATCTCCGCTATCATATTAAATAACCATTGAAGGTGGCAAGGGACTTGGGGCTTCTGAGTAACAGACATAATGATATGTGGCTTAAAGTGAATTAAGAAACAACTGATATGGTGTATGACCAGGGAATTAAAAGACATAAGTCAATGGGAAATTGCAGAAACCACAGACCAGTAGAAGTTACAGGCAATTTTCTTAATAACCCTTTAGGATAATATTAGGCAAGCTGCACAGAGCATCTTCACTACTCACTGTGGAGCAAACTGGTTAACAATCAGAGCCAAAGGTTTGTTTTTAAATGCAATTTGCCATCATTTATTTTATGACTGTCATTAAGCAAGAACTAATTCTTCTTAAGCTAAAAATAAAAGTATGAATTAATAAACTTACTTTTTCAGCTTAACCTTTCCAAAGTTCTTATTTTTGATGTGTTTTAATAAAAGAAAATTTAATTGACTCAAACTATAATCTTGTTTCCATAGCAAAAGAGTTATTTGCAAGGTCATAGTGGGAGGTCTTTACATTCACTTTGAGTGTGATTAATGTACAGTGAGATTTCGTTTATTGTGTGTGTTATAACCAGGAACATAAAGAGGTGCAGATTAGACATGGGAAATTACATTGATTAGACACGGGGAACTGATTTTGAGAACTCTTAAAATCTTGTAGCGTTTTTGCAGTCAGGAAAAGTGACTCACTGAAGAAGGCGGTCGTGTGAGCTAGCAGATGAGCAGGATGCTTGACAAAAACTGAGCAGCGATGAGAAGTGTGGATTGGGCAACGAGAGGCGATGGAAGATGCCATGTTCCAGGTTAGTGATGGGCTCGTGGCCAACGTGGTGCCTGTAAGACCGGTTAGAAAGAGGCAGAAACAAGAAATGCTAAGGCCTGACTCAGAAGGCTCTTTCTGGCAGAAGAAGGAGAGAGAAGTTAATAATGCCAAAGCAGCATGTGTTAATAAACTGTGAGTGTCAGAAAAAGCGTGAACACGAGTATATTAGAAGCCGGTTGTTGGTACGCAGAACGTGCCGAGTTTGCTGTCTAATTAGAATGGATTAGGGAGAATGCACAGCGAAGCAGAAGGGTTGACAGGACGAGATGTCTGATGCTCAGGTGAGGCAGCTCTCCATTGGGAGCCATCGGTGCAAAGAGGGTGGTGCACTGAAGGCAGTGCGTCTGGGTCCTAATGTTTAGCACCCAGTGTAAGCAGACTGCAGAGGGAGGTCAAGCCTGAGAACAGGGATATTTGAAAAACGTTCTGATAGCGGCTCTGCAAGTCAATTCTGTAGTCAGAAAAGGTAACAAACATTTTGTGAAGCTTACAGAGCAAGTATGAAGGAAATGACTGCATGTCAGAGAGCACTGGTATCCTTCAAATCTTTTTCTAAACCACGGGTGGTAAAGATGGAGTGACATCACACAGACAAAGGCAAGGTTCTCCTGATTTCGGATCTTTGCTGCTATCATTACAAGGAAGCTTGAGTAATGTGTCTTCCTTTCTAAGACAGTTCTTTTTTTTTAATAATTTATTTTTTATTCACTTTACATGCCCTTCACAGCTCCCCCTCAGTCCTCCCAGTCCTACCCTTACAAACCCCTCCCTCCACTGCCCCTTCCCCTCCTTCTCAGAGAAAGGGGATTCCCCCTTGGGTACCACCCCACCCTGGGATTTCTAAGGCATTTCTCAATCAGATTTGACCTGAGTGTTGCATTAGCTCAGTCAAATACTTCGTATGTGAGGCTATCTTTCTTTACCATTAATGTCAATGAAATAAGATTATTGAGTTTTTGTAAATAGAATTAAACACTCATTAATGAAAGCACATGAGCACGGTGTATTATTATTTGTAATTACGTTTCCACGTCTCTCTGCACGTATGGCAGTGTGTGAGTGTGAGCACTGCATATGTGTGCCATGGAGGCCAAAGGAGAGCTTCAAGTGCCTTGCAACTGGAGTCACAGGAGTTGGGAGGTGCTTAGCATTAGCTATGGGAATTGAAGTTGGGTGCTCTATAAGCACAAGGAATGCTTCCAATAGCTGAGCCATCTCTCTAGCTCCATAACTGATATATTAAACACCAATATTTCTAGAATATTAACAATGTCCAACATCATTTATGTTAATAAATTCATGGTTCCTTAAAATTTTTTTACTAAAGTAACTGTAATTTCATAGTTATTTGAGTATCTCAGACAGTTTAACATTCTTTCTTCTCATTGCCAGATAATTACATGGATGCCTATTGAATAGATTTATTAAAAACGAATTAAAGACATTTTCTGATGAGCTCAGTATTTTTCAGTTCTTTATTACAATGACTCCTATTCGGTCATCATTTTTTTTTCTTTTTATTTTCCTACTTCTGACATTTTTCTCCTAGCTTTGTAGATTAAATAATAAGGTCGATTTTTGGTTTTTGGTTTCCAGGGTTTTGTGAGGATTTTGTTTGTTTGGCAGGAAGTGAGAATGATTGCATATTAATCAAGAGCCCTACCAAGGAACAACAGCTCCACCCCTTCTCAGTATTTTTAAATCTATAAGCCACTTTTAATATATTTATTCCTAAAAATTTTTGACAAAAAGTTTATCCTTTTCTATAGTTCTAAATATAGTATAAAATCCATTGTAACTTTTGTTTTTCAATGAATTTATTGTCTAGCCATTTAAACATGAAGCTTAAAAATGATTTCTAAATTTTTTGTTAAGAATTTAGTTTACTATAGATTAGATACTAATCTTTGAGTCCAGTAAAGCTTTAAAGTAAAGATAAGATGTTATAAGTCTTTAAACCAATGATCGGGTGACCATGGAAACTGGAGGCTAGGGAGTAGATTTGGGATGAAGACTTTATGACTGATGGGTTGTAGAAGGTAAAGTGTGACCTTCAGGGTTAATATTTGTGCAGTACAAATGATAGTCTAGCTCCTTGCTGAAGGGAAGAGCAAAATGCTCTAAGAGTACTGTGAATACAGTACAACTGTGTTGCCTGTGATATATCCAGGAGGATGCATTAAAACAGTGATGCTGTTTTGAAATGAAGGGAGAAGGTAGGCTAACTACATGCATTTCAAATTCATCAAGGCACAGGGGCACTGGATATAATCAAGGCAATGCCTAAGGGGAAGAACAAGGCTAATGTACAGAGATGCTACAATCTATTTGAGGAAAGAATGTTGACACACAAATCTCTGTAGTCTGAAGGAATAAGAATCTTTATAATATACATTGTAACTTTTCTTTTTCAATACGTTTATTGTTTAGCCATTTAAACATGAAATGTGAACCTGTTTTAATTCATATTGTTGATTTCTAAATTTGTCTTAAAATCCAGTAATTTACTATAGAGTAAATTCTAATCTTGGAATCCAGTAAAGCTGTAAAGTAAAAACAAGATGTTATAGGACTTTATACCAATGATCAGGTGACTCGATCCAGGATATCAATTCAAGAAAGTAGAGTATTTGAAGAATGTACAAATTGACCAGTTGACCTCAATAGCATTAACAAGGAAATCGAATGGTTGAACATCATGTTGATAGTGTGTTATAGATGTTAAAATCTAAACTCATTGAGTCCCCATTAGAATTATGAATAATAATTCAAATAGGGATTTTGATTTTGCAGGAAATGGTATGAGTTATACATTTTACATTGATAAGATTGAGAGGGCCAGAGGTGTTAGTTTGTTTGTTTGTTTATTTTTGTTTCAATTTTAGCTTTGCTGGAGGGACACCTTTTTAGGGAAAGCACACTAACCACACTGTCAATAGCGCCCACTCTAATGACCTGGATCTACTTCATTCTCTCTGCTCCATCCATGTTACAATAGAAGGTGTATTGAAATATCATATGTATCTAGTTGAATAAATGGTCTTGGTACTTGTGCTATAAATCTTCCCACTCAAGATTCAGTAGAATTGAATCTCAAGTCTCCTTGATGTGCCTATGCCTTCATTATGTATTGCCAGAAGAGCCCTATATTGGAGGTTATAAAAAAGACACCCAAATTCTCTCTCTCTGTCTCTCTGTCTCTCTGTCTCTGTCTCTCTCTGTCTCTTTCTCTCTGTCTCTGTCTCTGTCTCTCTCTCTCTCTCTCTCTCACACACACACACACACACACGCGTGTGCCGATTTACCTATACTTTTACTTTTATATGCATATATTTCACAAGCAGCAAAATTCAGAGTAAACTAAATTTATTGTTTTTATTGTTTATATATTGTATATTTTAAAACTGAAGTCTAGAGATATAGCTCAAAGGTCAAATGAGCACGTTGAAAGTTACATTGGATTCTACTGGATTATAATGATAGTTCTAACATAAAATTTTTAAGGATTTCTAAGCTAATTTATATAATGAGTATGATATTTATATATCTATAAATGATATTACTGTTCCCTTCTTACTTCATACTCCCATCATGCCCAGCAATATAACATGCTTTTCCTTCATAATAGAGATATCTGGATATCTGTCTTTATTACAACACTATTTGAAACATCAAGTCATGAGCCAGCCAAGTTGTTCATCTGTCAGTGGGTTTCAAGTCATCAGTTGAATAAAATTCCAAGACCTAAAACCACACTTAATCTTATTCTCATATTTGCATATATTCTGAGTTTTATTTCCTAAAATTGCCTTTCATTCACAAATCTAAATGTAGGAGGTAGAATGTTCTAGATCTGATCAGTTTTTAGAGGAGAATGATTTATTAGTCTCTCTCTTTTTGTGTTGTTTATTTGCTTGTTGTTTTGAATCATGTCTCATGTAACCCAGACTGCCCTTAAACGTACTCTGTAGCTGAGGTTATCACTGAACTGACAATATCCTTGTCTCTATTTCTCTAGTACAGGGATCACAAGTGTGTGCAGCCATGCGTAAGTTTAAAGCAAATTAACTGAGCATCATACTGCAAGGTCATACACAATAAACATGCTGCTACAGTGGTGGCAACATTCACTTTATTTATAGGCTCTTTAAAAATGCAAAACGGAACTTCATTTTCTTATCAACAATGTTTAATCCTGTTAATGGGGTTGTTCTTTGTTTTCCCTTCAGGGATGAGAACTTCAGTAAGCCCCCTCTAGTGTTTGAAGGTTGCAACAGCTCACTGAGGATGACTTTGGGAGAGAAAAAAAATATTAAGTTATGTATTTATTTTACATCCAGATCCCAGCTTCCCCCTCTGTCCTTTCCTCTCAGTCCCTCCCTCTCACATCCCCTCCCCCACCACCCACCTCTCAGCCTCTTCTCCTCAGAGAAGGTTGGGCCTCCCATGGATATCAACCTGTCCTGACATATTCTGAGTTGGGATCTCACTCTTCTGAAAAAAAAAAACCCTCCAACATAAGTCCTTCCAAATACTCGTCTTGTCTGCCTCAGCATCGTAAAACTTAGTTCCATATATCTGTGGCTTATTGTTTTGCAATGACAGTCACTTCCCTTTTTTTGTCCCTTTGTGCCAGTTTTTGACCTTCCTAGCTGTTCACAAAGCTACCTCTGTCTATGAATGTATGCATTATCTTCTACTTTACAGAGAAATTTAAACTTATCAAGTAAACTCTTCAGCTTTCTCCTAAATTATGTCATTTCAAACCTCCTTCCATACCTTGTCATATAACTTATTAAAGCCATATAACTTATATGTCTAGGTGTGACATCCTCAACCTCCTAGATTCTGGTTTAAATATGAAACATCTCCTAGGACTACTTTCTTAAAGTTTAGGCTAACCTGGTGGCAATATTTTGGCGAATTCTGGGGAAACTTTAGGGTTAGAGTTCTACCTAGATACAAGTAAGTCACTGAGGTCAAGTCCTGTTGGCATTGTCTCTCTGGCTCCTT